TCCCCTCCCCACCTCCATCTCACCCTTCCCGCGGCAGGAGGTGATGCCAGCTGGGCGGACAGCGAGGTGGACTCATCCGCGCCGGCCACCTCTCAGGCATCTTCAAGATCGAGGACTCTGCGCAAGTGGCCCGTCTGTGGGGCATCCGGAAGAACCGCCCGGCCATGAACTACGACAAGCTGAGCCGCTCCATCCGGCAGTATTACAAGAAAGGCATCATCCGGAAACCCGACATCTCCCAGCGCCTCGTCTACCAGTTTGTCCACCCGGTCTGAGCGGCGGCGGCGGGACAGGCTGAGCCCCGGGAGGGACAGGGGACCTTCGCCACCTCCCTCTGCCTCCCAGCCACAGAAACCATCTTCCAGCGCTAAGGACTGCGGCTGGGGTGCCAAGAGGCTCACCCCCCCCAGAACCTGCTGGCAACGGACTGTGGGACCCCCCTCACCCCCCAGCCTCGGAGGGGAGGGATGAGCCCCCAGCTAAGGGACCACCACCAATGTGCCCTGGTGCGGGGCAAGGACTGTGCAGAGCTCTCGTTTCCCGCGAGCACTCCCAGGGAAGGGTGGGCACAGAATTTGGGGCCGGCGGAGGAGACGTGGGGTTGCTTGGGGTGAGATAAAGGCAGAGGAATCTGTGGCTGTTGCAGCGCTCCCCACAACCTTGGTGCCTTTTGGCAGGGATTGAAGGTAGGAGAGTGGCTGGGGTCACCCAGGGGAGGAGCTGGGGGATGCAGGAGTCCTGCCCCCAGGTCTCTTGCCCCCCGGCACATTGTCCTCTCACCCCGCAGCCCCAGGGCACCGTCAGGACACAGGGGCGAAGGGCACATCCCAGCAGGAGACCTCAATATCCCCGTGGCATCACCCCCCAGGGCTGCTCTCGGGGGGACGCAACACCATCGGGGCCGCACTCCCCTCCATCCAGATCCTGTCCCCATGCCACCACCGGCCCGGCTGTGGGACCGGCTGCCCTCGGTGCCCATCAGGAGTGACCCTGTGCGCTGCAGCGGGGCTGCTCTGGATTTACCCCAACAAACAAACAACCCCTAACCCTGGCCCTCAGCCCTGTTCGGGGTGGGGGGCAGCGTGGCGGGGGGCTCTGCCCTTTGCTGCACCTCAACCCTCAGCTGCAAAGAAAGGGGCTGCCTGAATTTTGGGGGGGACGGCGGCTAGGCTCATCCCTCCCTCCTCCCCTCCCTCCTGGGTGCTGGCTGCGGGTGGCTTCGCCCCGGCCATTGTTCAGGGAGGACAAAGCCTGGGCATGAGCCGGGACAATGGCACCCATGGGGACAATGGCACCCGCAGGGACAAGGGCACCCACAGCTGCCCTTGGCTGGGCCTGCGCTGACCCGACCCGCGCAGGAGCAGCCTGGCACCAGCAGCACCGCAGCACCCAGGGATGCTGCCGGCCAAGGGAGCTGGGTGCTGGGTAGCTGTGCCCTGGGGACCACAGGCATTCCCTCCGGACGGGTGCATCCCCACTTCGCTTCCCGCTCTGGGACACTCTCAGCTTCTCCCCTCCGCAGGGATTTGGGGCTGAAAATGGGGGTTTTGCAAAGGGAAAAACGCGGGCGCGGGGCCGTGCACGCCGGGGCATCCCTGCAGGCGTGAGGGGTCCCCTGAGCCGGCTCCCCCATCCTTGGGCGGGGGGACACCCAGAGCTCCCCGAAGCCCCCAGGTCCTTGGTCCTGGCACAAGGCTCTTCCCTTGATTTGGATTTTATTTGGACTGCCTGATTCCCGAGTTTGGGAAAAGGGAGACGGCAGCTTTGCCGTTTCCCTCTGGACAGTAAATCTGAAACACAACCCGCCGAGCCCGGACTGGGACGGAAAACTGGGGATTGCTTAAACTGCACATTTCACGAGAGTCTAAGTTACCCGGCGATGTTGATCTTTTATATTATAATTTTTTTATTTGTTTATTTGCTTTTTGGTTTTGGCTGCCAGCAAGTTGTGGTTTAGGTTCAAATGACGAGGGTAGACGGGTGGCCCGGGTACCCATGAGATACTTTGTGGGAGGAAAGGAAAAAAAACACCTGGTTGTTGGTCTTTTGTTTTTAACTTAAAATAGCTGCCTGTAACAGCTCCTGCCTTCTTCTTTTTGTTCTGCCCGTTTCGTACTGTTTACACGGCAGAGGAGCGGACGCGCTTCGGCCAGCCTTGCAGGCATCCCGGCTGGAGGGATGGAGGGCGGCTGGAGGGAGAAGAGGAGCAGGGGAAGGAGGAAAACTGCCTTGGCCTCTGGAAAAGGGGAGGGGAAAGGGAAAAAAAAAAGAAATGGGGAAAAAAAAGCAAAATGTGTCTTGTGATTTCCTGCGTGCGACCGCTGCTCCCGCAGCCGGCACGGGGAGCAGCGGGGGGACAGGCTGGGGGTGCCAGTGCCCCAAATCTCGTGTCCCTCTCGCAGGTCCTTTGGCAGGGTGGGCGAAGGCACATGGGGGGGGTTTGCATGTCCCTGCGGGGAAGGTGGGACGGAAGGGGGTTAAACGGCGAGGAAAGCTGCTGCCAGCTGGGGAGGGTGCGCCCGGGGACACGATGTCCCCAGGGACGAGGGGGACCTGACCCAGCAGATGCCCCCGGCAGCGGGATGGGCAGCCAGAGCCGCAGGGCTCACAGCCGGGGTTTCCCCCAAACCTCTTGCAGTTCCAGCCTTTAAATAAGGGCAAATAAATCCCTTTTCTCTGCCCTCTCCCCATCGGGAGCCCAGGGAGTGCCCCCCCACGCCCCGGCAGGTTCCGCTCCCTCCACCCTGTCCCCCTTGGCCGCTGCCCTCTCCTGGGGCTACCCCGGCTCTCCGGGGAGGGGAGAGGGGTGGGTGACCTGCAAATCATTTTTCCCAAGGTTTCAAGGCTCGTAGGGAGCCCGGGAGGCTCTATCCCCTCTTGATCCCTCAACGCGTTTGCGCCGGGGCTTTCCCATCTCCCCCTGCCCAAGATAGGGGGGAGCGCTGGGTCGGGGGCCGCTGCTTTTGCTGGAGCTGGGAATGGCCCCCAAAAACTGCTGTATCTTGAATCCCCCCGTGGGCTTCACAAGGCTTTGCCTGGCAGGTTGGCATGGGGGTCCCCCAAAGGCAGTGGCTGCTGCCCCCCCTCCTGCAGCCCCCTTGTCCCCCAGGACCCCAGCAATGCATCTGAGCCCCCCCCCCATCCCGCGCAACCCCCAAAG